CCATATCTTTGGTGGCTTGAGCTTCAAAATACCCTGTTCAGTTAGGAAATCATGGTGCCCATGTCTGAGGCATGATGAAGATGAAGCAGCTTGCCCAGATCAAGCAGGAAGTCTTGGCAGCAAGCATCAGCCTAGTGCTTTTCTGCCACCTTTGTGCTGGGCGTGTGAAACTTGCTTGGTGCAAGGGATGTTAGGAAACAGAAGGAGGTTTCCCTGCGGGCAGGCAGGATTCCAGATGTCTCACCTAAGCCTGGGTTATTTTTTTTTCTGTTGAAGTTGATGGTTGACTGGGCGCCTGGGCAATAGCTGCAGCCCTTGTCTGACCTATGGAGACTTGTTTTCTGCAGCTGTCTGTGTGTGGGTCCAGCCTGCTAGCCCCAGCTTGACACGCCTGGTTAGTACAAAGGAGGAATCTCATGCCTCTTGGGCTGGTCATAGGTAATTGGGCTTTGAGGCTGCAAGCCAGCGTGCTGGTGAAGTCTGACTTCACCAGCCTGCTGTTGCCAGCAGAGTCTGAAGTCATGTGGAATTTTCTCTTAATATTGTTATTGTCACTACTGCCTTATTTTCAAATATCTGTATTGTTGCTGTGCTCTCTGTATGCTAATAAAACTCTGTGTTGTTTCAGCACTTTTCCTTCAGACCCCTCTGCCTTGCTGTTGGCTGACCTCTATTACACAAGGTTGGCATTGTGTGGCTGCCAGGAACCCCTTTCCCAAGGGAACCTAATGGACTTGTTTGAGAAGTTGCATCCTAATATTTCCACTGGTGTTTCCAAGGTAATCTGATTTTTTTTGAGCGTGTGCGAGATAGTTTGTGTTTTAACAATGTGATTTCAGTAAACTGAGATAAATGACAAAGGCTGAAAGGAGAAACATGAGGCTGTGTACAGCTATTACTTCCATAGCATCTGTTTAGGACTGTGTCCGTTTCTAAGAGACTGCCGTGGGCCGTGAGTTAACAGAGGTTAACTTTTAGCCCTGCGAGGCTTGCCTCTTCCCTAGAGGTGAATCAGAGCAGGAGCCTAATGTATTCATTTTGAATTGCCTGCTAGACTACAGGAGCTCATCTGTTTCTCAACCTAGTGAAATCAGCCTCCTGTGCAAAATATTAACCTCTGTTGTTAGGTGTGTATGCATCTGTGTATGTAGCCTGCATTCTCCTGCATGCTTCTGACATATTTTTCTGGATAGGTCCGGCTATTGACTGTTCGTATTCTAAACCATTTTGAGAATCCACCTTCTACACAGATTGAGGTAGGGCTAAAACTTAATTTAACATTTCAAAGCCATCTGTGTTTGATTACGTGTGTGAACTGTTTTCTGCTTTGCACAAAGCATGTGTCTGGTAGAGGTTGTCCTCTGCTTTTGTGCTTTCACATTCCAGTTTTATCTCTCTATCTCCCTGCCTCCTGATGTTTTCAGATGTGTGAGTTTTGATGCCTAAGTGGTGGAAACCAGAGCAAGTCCCTTGATGTTGTTCTTTGGTCCAAAATGGCTGGGACTTTGTGTGGTTTTGTTGAAACACCTTTAAATGAGTAAAGGACACTCATAATAAAATGCATGTCACTTGTTTGTTCAGGGTGATGGCACAGGGGAATTCCAGCCGCTGTTTGCCGTATTGCTCCAAGCAGAACTTGTGCCAGCAACAGTGAATGATTACAGAGAGAAACTTCTCCATTTGAGAAAACTAAGATGTGATATAGTGCAGTCTTCAATACCAAGTGGATCTTTGCGAGAGGTAAGTAGTTACTGTCAAAAAGAAGTTGTCACATTCCTTTATTCCAAGAGAATATTCTTACTCCATCAGATGGATTGCAGATTTTTTGATAGAGTTTGTCAAAAAATCAGTTAGCTCCCAGATTAGGTTTTAGAAAACTTACTTGTTAATAGGGATCACAGCTCCTGTTGTCCTTGGGGCTATGTGTTGTCTTGGATATTTAATAGAACAACAGTGGTGTCTAGATAAATGGCCCACAACCAGATTAATCAGGCTTTGATATCATGGAAAGGAAGGCAGATGATTCCAGGGAGAAGTGAGTCGTGAGCAAATTTGAAATCGTGACCTTGCCGTACCCTCAGCACGGTTGAACGTTGGTAGGACTCCCATTAGCCATTGGAGAGCCTAGCTTCTGGACCTTGCTGCAGGGTGAAAATCGTGTATGCCTGTGACTGTTGAATCTCCTCTGCTGCTGAGCTAAAGGGGACCTTACTTTCTAGGAAAGGCCACAATTTTACTAGTTAAATGATTGTCGTGGTTTAACTCCAGCCAGCAACTAAGCCCCACAGAGCCACTCACTCACTCCTCCCTGCCCCTCCCCGGTGGGATTAGGGACAGAATCGGAAGGGTAAAAGTGAGAAAACTCGTGGGCTGAGATAAAGACAGTTTGATGAGCAAAGCAAAAGCCGCACGCGCAAGCAAAGGAAAACAAGGAATTCATTCACCACTTCCCATCATCAGGCAGGTGTTCAGCCATCTCCGGCAAAGCAGGGCTCCATCAGGCGTAACCGTTACTTGGGATGACAGATGCCATCACTCTGAACGTCCACCCCTTCTTTCTTCTCCCTGCTTTATATGCTCAGCATGATGTCATATGTTATGGAATATTCCTTTGGTCAGTTGGGGTCAGCTGCCTCAGCTGTGTCCCCTCCCAACTTCTTGCGTATCCTCAGCCCACTTGCTGGTGTGGTGGTGTGAGAAGCAGAAAAGGCCTTGGCTCTGTGTAAGCACTGCTCAGCAGTAGCTAAAATATCCCTGAATTATCAACTGTTTCCAGCACAAATCTCAAACATAGGCCCCTGCTAGCTACTATGAAGAAAATTAACTCTATCCCAGCCAAAACCAGCACAGATATCATAGATTTGGTGGAAAGGGTTTTTTTTTTTTGTTATTCTTCTGGCTGTTGCTGTACCTGTATCATTTTTCTACCTCAACTTGTAAGCTCCTGTGAGGAAGGGTTGTAGGTCAGTCCTACTGCATGTTGGTCAGCAGGGAGCCAGTCCAGAGGCCATGCTTCCAGGACTAGGGCAATGAAGACTCCACAGGAAAAACTTTCTTCTTTCTGAGATCCCTAATGCTGCTATGTCAGCCCTGAAGTTCAAGAGAGAGGCAGGCAGTCCAGGTCATCTGCTGTGCTGATCTGTTTTTTGCACATTCCTGGTATGTAGGTATGGTGACTAGATCTCAGTGCAGCTTGCAGTAAATGGGATCTAGATTTCCGCATGCAGCTGTGAGACAAGGAATGATGAAGTATGTGACTTGCTTCATTACCTGTAGTACTTGCCAGAACTTCTTTGATCAAAGTTTCCTCTTTGAGAGGAAGAAAGGTTGGAGGAGGTTGGTTGGTCTTTTAACTATTGGTTTTTTACATGGTATTGTATGTCATCCTAGGTGCCTCTTCGGTATTTACTGGGAATGCTTTATATTAACTTCAGCCCTCTCTGGGATCCTGTAATTGAACTCATAACGTGAGTATATGCGGTTGGATGCTGCAATCTGTGGTTGTCTCATAGAACATTCCTTCTGTTGTTCTGTGAACAAAAGCTGAAGTTAAAATGTCCCGATTGGAGCAATCTGTGCATGAGAATCTTCATGTGAAATCTTCTGAAACTATTTTGATCTCTCAAATAAATTGCAGCCTGTGTAGACTTACTTTTTAACTTTGTTTCTGATTTTTCTTACTATTAATGGGAGCTTGTAACAGATATAGTTAAATAGCAGCAGAGTTTTGAGTCAAAGGTAGCAGGATTTGATTAGTGTTTCACAAATGCTTAAAGGGGCAAGAAGTCCCTCTCAGCTTTCCTGTCTCTGACTTTTCTGTCCTTACTGGAAAACCTGTAAATCCTACTGAAGAGTAAGGAAGAGTTAACATGGTGACAGCTAAGCTAAATACTGGAATCTGTGTCTGCTTTCAGCATGACTATCTTCTAGTTTTTTCCCCTCTGTTGTATGATTAAAAAGGATAGGATTTTCCCCTTCAAACTAATGAATTAATAAAAAATATTAAAGCAGCTCTTCAAAAGATATATCCATGCTAATTCTTCCTTTGGTTCTATAGGATGTTACTCTACAGAAGTCAGTAGAAAGCTTGAGAACATTTTTAGTCAATTTGAGTTCATTTGAAGTCATGAGATACAACCAGATTATTTTAATAACAATTGACATTTGGGATCCATGAGTAAAGGCAAGGAAGTGCTATAGCTGTATCGTGCAGATGTCCTGTCTTTGGACACCCACATTAAAGCAGTGATCAAAGCCTCTGATTGTGTTGGTTGTTAACTTGCCTAGTGACGCATGGCATTTTATTTTTTTCCTTTTAATTTCACGCTGTCTTTGTTACATTTTGTTAGTTCTTATGCAAAGGAAATGGAGAATAAACAGTTCTGGAAGGTCTTATATGAACATTTGGAGAGGGCTGCTACCTATGCTGGTAAGTCACAGCTGCTAAATGTTGTTGCGAAAGTAACTCAGCTAATTGTCAATGACATGACAGTGGTTTTATATGCCCCAAATTTACACGTGGCAGGGGAATTCAGAACCAGGGCTCTTGACTACCAGCATCATGTCCAGGGCAGGAATGGAGAAGCTTGGAAGAAAACTGGGTCTCCTGTTCTAAACACCAAGAAGTAGATAGAAGAGGCACCTGCACTAGAGGGAAGGAGCTGCAGGCTGTGGGAAGCCGTGCAGCAGTTTCATCCCTGCTTAAGGCTGGCTCTGCCCCAACAGATCAAGCGCAATGACAAACCTGTATAATGGGGCTGACCATATTTCTGCTCCATAAATTCAGTGGAATTCCTTGCAGTGTCTTTCTTGGGTGTGCTCTTGAGGTTTCCCTATGAGTGTATGGAATCTATGATTTCATGATAGAGCCATGAGCACACAGCCATTAGTGGGTTTCTCTGTTATTCAAGAGAACTGAGCTTATTTGAGATGGTCAGAGCTGTAAGGCATCCTAGAATACTTTCTGAGCAATGTGAGTCTTTCAGGTCAGTGTTAAATACAGTTGTCTAAATAGGTACGTGTCACCAGAAGTGTTACTTTTGTAATGGGGGACTGATCCCTTGCTGCTGGCAATTATGCAGTAACCTGAAGAGATTTTCTTCATCTGTTTTTCTTCATCTCCATAGAAATGGAGCTGCAAAATGAATTAGATGAACAGGAGGAGAGCATTGCTGAAACAGAAGGCGAGAAGATGCCAGAAGGAGGGGTAGGGACTGTCTTCCTGGAGCACCTGAAGACTAGAACAGATTGTACCGATCGGCTGGACCACACAAACTTCCGTTTTCTGCTGTGGAAAGCACTGGATAAGTTTCCAGACAGAGTGGAGCCTAGGTCGAGGGAACTTTCCCCACTTCTTTTGAGATTTATTAGGTAAGTAAGATTTATTTTTCAGTTGAGAGGACACATTGCTTTCAGTGTGTTGCTGAGCTTTAAGGCTATGGCTATCCCATTATAGACTTTATTTCCTGAATGCATGGCTGATGAGATGACTGTTTCCAGTTAAGATGACCTTTTGATTGAAATGTGGATTCTGTTAGAAACATCACACAAGAAGCAGGCTGAAATGAAACTGGCAGTACATTTCTGCTGCTCGGTCTCTCATTTACTAACTTACCACTGTCACAGCCTCATTACTCCACTTAGGGAATGATTTCAGTGGAAGTAAAGTTCCCTTTTTTTAAAATGAAAATACATTTTAATTTGGAATCACAGAAGACCAAAATATTTTCCCCCAAGGTGGGGAAAATACTCTTTTTGTTAGAGGCTAATTCAGTTTCATGGCCCTGGAGGGAAAGCAGTGATGTGCTTGCATGTGTGCACATATCAGTGTGATGCACATGGGGTAGGTGTCATCTCATGGCAGGGGAAGGTTTCTGATATTCCTTTTCTATGATTAAAAAACCCTATGTTTTGCTTGCCTCCCTGGAAAAATTGAAGCATGCTGTAGTAGGTTAGTTTCCTCACTTACTGTCACACTGCCATACTCACTGCTCACCTGACCACTTGAGGAAACACAGCCCCCGTGTTCTCCACATAACCTCTTTACAGACCTCTGGTAATTCAGTGATTCATGTCTCTCCTCCTCTCCATCAGGTACCTGCAGTCTCCTTTAGTGTATTTGGTCCCTTCCTTGTACATCTGCAACTTGTAGGCAAAGAAGCATATACTTGCTAAAATACGCTTCTTTGGGAGTTTTTAGCCATATAGTGTCCCAAGAAACAGTGCCATTAATGTGAATTGAATGGTGGATTGTGGAATTTTCAGTTGTTCTTGCCCTGAAACCCTGAAAAATGCTGTGCTTCTTAATTCCTTCCTTTTTTAAACACAGAAATGAGTACTACCCAGCAGATTCATTAGTGGCTCCATCTCAGGATCTTAGAAAGAAAACTAGTGGTACAGTAGCAGCAAAAGAAATAGCTGGTGAAGAGGTGAATGATGTTGCTATGGAGGAGGAGGAGGAGGAAGAAGAGAAGGAAGAAGGGGGACCAATTACTGTAGGACTACCGAAAAAGAAAACAAGAAGAGCTGCTGCTAAGTAAGTATTTTCAGTTTTTCCTTGCTAGTGCTTTCACAGAAAGGCAGATTCAGCAGCTCATGTTGAGATAAAAGCTACGTTTTTGTATATGTTCCTTTTTTCTTGTTTTGCTTGCATTTCGTATTTTTTCAGTGGACTATAGTAGAGTCAAAAACTCTGCCAGTACTAAACATGCAGAGACCCTGCCCAGGCTTTACCATTATCTCAGTAACTGGTGACAGTCTGTGATTTGTGTTACTTTAAGCAAAACTTAGGTGGTATTCTGAAGCCATTCTGAAGTCTTCAGAGGCTATTGTATCTGCATTCCCTTGGCTTCTCTGTGTGTATCTGTTGGTCTTTTAAAACCACGGGCATTGCCAGACACTTTGAAAAATGAGACTATTCACTCAGCTGTTTTAATATTGGGGTTCTGTCAGTGCCTACCTGTTAGAAATCTTCGTTCTTAGGGACAAAGATTTTTATTTGGTGGTGTTTTAGACTGAAGCTACATGCTGTTGTAATGTCCTTGTTTGCAGTGCCAAATACATGGAGAAAGTGACTCCTTGTATGAATTCTCCACAGTTTCTCTAATTAGAGTCTTATTACCCTGATGACCTCTGTCAAATGTCTATTACAAATACATCACAAAGATTTTTATTTTGCCACTTTTTCTGCAAAGGATGGCCCTTGTAATGACAGAGAATTTCAAAATGTCACCTTACATGTTGGAACACGACGAGTATTCGATATGTAACCTGAATTGTCATTTAATCCCAGGTGTTTTACAGAACGTTTCATATTGTTCCCAGATACTGACTGCTGTCTGCAAATTAGTGACAGTCCAAGATACTTATTTTTTGTTTTTTCAACCTCCATCTCAAAATGTCAATGTACTTAAATGGAAACATTAGTTCCTGGTAGCAGTAACAAAGGCATAAAAGATTTACCGAAGGCACGTTAATGAGTTCTGGAGTGACCTCCCTTTGCCTTCGCCCTGGACAGTTCATGCAGTCAGGCCTGTGCCGCTGCACCCTGCAGGCCGCGAGGTCTGGCTGAGGCCATGGGAGGATCCATGCCTGCCCCAAGCTTGGCCTGGGGTTGCCGGAAGGCGTCGTACTTGTCTTTTGGCTGAGCCCAGCCATGGAGGAGGGTGGCCCAGCTAAGTGTCTGAAGAGTTCAGTGTAAACTATGAACGGGAGCAGCTGTATGAGAACAGCCTCTGCCAACCCCACAGTGCATATGGTGGAGGAGACCTCATCCTGGTCACCTCTCTCCCCTCCTACAGAGTGGAGGTGGGACAGATGTGAGGTGACACAGCTGCTTCTAGAGGAGCTGACTCCCGTCTGTGCCTGCAGCCCAGCATAAGTCCAGCACAGTGTGTGGCTTCATGTTGATAGGAGCGAAATGGGCACCAGTTAAAGACAGGTGAATAAATAAAGAGATAAATTCACCTGTTTGGTGTTCCAGGCTGGGCTGGCAGAGAGAAGTAAGCTGCCTCCTCACTGTTTGTATTTCTTTCTCATCAAAAGCCGAGCCTGTCTAGTGCTGCTGAGGAAATGGCCTTCTGTGTGCAGTGAAGTGACATCTGGAAGTTGCTGCTTAGGAGAGGAAACAGGATGCCTCTTGCTGTGTTTAGCAATGGAGGCCTGTAGACTTGGAATCCTCTTGTGTTGTTTTTTGTTTATTTTTTCTTTCCTGTTACTCAATTTTAATAGAAGTTCCCCATTTGTTTATAATATTGCAGGATTGTCTCTTCTGGTCATTTAAAAAAGTGATTGTTTTGTTTTGTTTTACAGGCAACTAATAGCCCACTTACAAGTTTTCTCTAAATTCTCAAATCCTCGTGCGTTGTATCTGGAGCAGAAGTTGAACGCATTATATACCCAGGTGATACTATTTGCTGACTTTTAGAATTACTGCTGATTAATGATCTCATTCTTACTTGAATGCAGTGTCTGAGATTGCAGAAATCTGTCATTTTCTGAACCCAGTCATGAGAGACAAAAAAGGAGCTGTCCTTGAGAGGGCTTCCTAGTAGGCTTCACTTGAAATGGGCCCCTTTAGCAAAGACCTGCGTGAGATACCTGGCTTAGTTTGCCAGGAGTGGCTCATGCAGACAGATCTGGCAGCAGACAAGTAGTAGTCTTTGGCAAGGTGAAGGAGTGGCTTTAGAGGGGGTCTGTTCCACTTGCACAGCAGGATCTGGAAGAGCATTTTGAATCCCAAGCTTGGGGAATACCCGAGATTTGTTCTTGTCCTACAGTTGTGTCTACAAAGAGTGTGGTCAGTGTGAACAACAGATCATTTTGCATCAAAAACCAAAATTTCTTCTTGACGAATATTCAGTTTGATAAGATTCCTTTTTGAGGGATTTCCCTGAAGGAATTGTCAAAAATAGGACTCTGAAGAGGGATTCTAAGTTTTATCCTACACTACTTAAAAGAGTATTTTATTAATTTTGCTGGGTTTTGTTGGTTCTTGATTTGTGGATTTGTTCAGCTCATTGAAGTTTTCTCTAATTGTTCCAAGTTTGTGTTCTCTAAGGCTGCGATCAGTGGGCTATAGAACTGTATTAAATGGTATGAACCTGTTAGTTCCCTGGGTTTCAGCTGGCAGCTGGTGTGGGAATGGGAAGGTGAATTCATTAGTCCCCGTATCTGAGAATCTGTAATGAACATCCACTCAGTTAGCCTCAGAGTTTTGCTTCGGAAAGAATTGGTCCATGTATTTACTTGCCTGTATCCTTAGGAAAATATTGAACAGATATATACATGCCAAAACAGTGTGTGAACAACAGCCTGATATAAATAGAGGAATAACTTCATCACTTACTGTTTGCCGTTTATGTGTTTTAGCATGTGTATTCTCGTGGCTGGTGTGTCCATCTGGCGTAGGGATGTCAGGGCAAAGTGACCTATGGTGACTCTAGCCTGTGCTGTTTGGTAGGAGACTGAAGAACTGATAAGGATGCTGCATGGGGAAATGATCTGTATTTCTCAGTGCCTAGGTTATGAGGAGTCATCTTTGAGAGAGGGCAAATGTCAGTGAGACTTTGCGTATCAAGTCTTACGACTATTTTGTGTTTGTCACTGGAAAGAAATGCAAGTGTCTTGGGATGGTTTGGGTAGTCTGCTTTTTAATCCACTCTTCCCAGATACACAAGTGGTAACTGGTTTCGGAGGCTGAAAATGAGCACTGACAGTGGTCCAAAAGACAATTATGAAAAAACCAAACAACATAACTACCCTGTGTAGATGGGGGCGAAAAGTATGTATGAACTACCAGAAATCATGCCCGCTTTTTTTAAGTGACAGTTGTGTATGCACATCTTGGTTTTATACTGGCAATACACACACTCTGTTTCCATTTTGTTAAGTTAGTCCAACACCTGCTTGAGCTTGGAGCCTTTGGGTTGTTTCACTATTTTCAATAAGCACTTCTGTCTTCTAGATAAAGACTCATGTTCTTTCGTCATTTGCAGTTACTGTCCCATCAAGACCAGAATGTACAGAGGATAGCTCTTGACTGTATAATGACATACAAGCATCCTCATCTACTGCCATACAGGTAAAAGCTTTTATATTGTTTTATCATTGGTGAATGAGCCTGCTGTCATATCAGGAGCCTTCAAAGAGGGAACTTTTCCTGTATTTGTTGAAAATGTATGTATAAATTTTAGTTTTAGCCAGCTGTATATTTCCTATCTAAAACAGGAAATAAGGTTTGAGGTTGGTCAGTGTCTCTTTTTTACAGGAAAATGACACTTTCATTCTGTCCCAGAGTAGTGTCTGCTTAGTAGTTGTATCATTTTCAAAGAGGTCTTTTGTACTGATGATTTATAACCACCCAGAGAAAGTGACAGCATAAAACTGTAGCTTGTGGTGGAATAATCACTTCAGAATGTGTCCCAGGAGTACTTTCCTACATAATTAACTTGAACTTGCTGGCTTTTTAAATATTTTTTTATGAACGGGTGGGAACATAGTACTTTAGTATTTTATATACAGCATAGCTTAGATAGGTAGGTAATTAGGTATGGATGTGTGTGTCTGTTTATTTTTATAACCCCTACCTGCCCTCAAGTGATGTTTTTTACTCACAGGGAGAACTTGCAAAGGCTACTGGAGGACAAGAGTTTTAAAGAAGAAATAGTCCATTTCAGTATTTCTGAGGAGACTGCAGTAGTAAAAATGGAGCATCGACCAGATCTCATGCCTGTTCTTATGAGGTGTGTCATGAAGTGTGGGTTTAAGAGTTTCATGTCAAAGTACTGTGAGCAGAGATGTAATGCTGCTGCTTCTCATTTTAGACAGTTGAGATAAACCTATGGTTAATGGTCTAGTTTGATGACTTACTTTGTGATGTTCTGTATGGTTTCCTTATTAACACATTTGTGTAATGTGTAATGCAAATGGTATCTTCTTTAAAATCAGTGTTTTGGTAAATACTGTTTCTGGTAAGGCTTACAGAGAATTGTGAGAATATTTCAGTTCACTGAGTATTGCAACTTATTTTTTTAAGATACGGTGATGCAAGTTACCGTGCAGATAACTAGTTTTATACCTGAAGTCTTCAGCAGAGCTTCCATTGTGGTAGCAGAAGCTGATCTCTCACTGGGATGTTTTTGGGCAACGTGTAGTAATTCAGTGGACACCCTGAAGGGGGGATTTCCACTCGGCTTGTTCTCACTAGAGAATATTTTTAAATGGAGTTTCTTCTGCAGAATAAGAGTCTGGGAAACACATGGCTTGCTGAAAGCTAATGCAACCTCTTTTTGGTTCTTGAAGAATTCTCTATGGCAGAATGAGAAACAAAACAGGGAGCAAAACACAGGGCAAGTCTTCAGCAAGCACTCGCATGTCGATCGTTCTGCGATTTCTTGCCGGCTCACTGCCGGAAGAGATACGGATGTTCTTGGATCTACTCTTTGAAGCTGTGAAGCAATTCAGTAATGGTAGGTACAGGCAGTAGAACCTGGGGGTATGGTACTTCCTGACCTGTAGAGATGTGGGAGGGTAAATAGACTTAGTACTGTTATCTGCTTCAGTTTGTCTCTAACAGTGCCTTGGAAGGATGAAAGGATGAAAGGAAACTCTTACTAAGGACTGAGGTTCCCCATAGCTTTTCCTTACAAAGCATGATGGCTCTGTTTTACAGGTCCAAGGTCAGAAAAACCGAATGACTTGCCACAGCTGTGCAAGTAAGCTGTAGC